ATGATCTACTAACTTAACAAATAAAAAATGTTCAACCCTAGTCAAATTTGATATTTAACCACAGTTAAACTAAACACATTACGATCTCCACACATGTATTTAATCCACCGCCAGTGATGTTTCTCTTCCATTTTTTTACCTTCATATATCACTTGGTGTAATACACGAATCCCTCACATAATCCCTAAATTAGGTAATCCATCTCCAAATTCCAATAATGAAAATGAACTTTTTGCATGATGGTGGCTTAACCTTAGCCGTTCCCTCTGGTCAAGAGTACACAATTACCGTTAATCATCTTGTTGGTTCTGATGTACCGTATCGTAAAGATTATACAATTACCGTTAATCCAGGTGGAGGTGGGGTTGTAAGGGTTCATCCTCCGGTAATGGCAACCCTAAGGTTTTCTTTGATATAGCCGTGGGTGACAGACCGGTTGGTCGGATCGTGATGGAGCTCTTCGCCGACACGACCCCAAAGATGGCAGAGAACTTCCGAGCAGTGGCGGAGCCAGCAATTATTTTCATGGGGGTCAAAATATTATTTTCATGGGAGTCAAATATAGAATTTTTAGCCATTTTATATGACAAGTTTTATAACTAAGAAGAATTATTAGAAGAATTATAAATTTTGTGGGGGTCAACTGACCACCCTACCCACCACGTACCTCCGCCACTGCTTCCGAGCCCTTTGTACCGGCGATAAAGGCATGGGGAAGCTTGGTAGGCCACTCCATTACAAGGGATCAATCATCCACCATATATCCCCTGGTTATATTTTCCATGGAGGAGATATAACTTATGGAAACGGAGAAGGAGGCGAATCGATCTACGATGATGTATTCTTCGAGAAGGAGAACTTCATCAGGCAGTGCACCGGTCCAGGTTTCCTCACCATGTCCAACAAATCTGTAGACAAATCCAACGGATCTCAGTTCGAAATTTGCATGAAAAAGGACGAGCATCTCGGCTACGAGAACGTCGTGTTCGGCCAACTTATTCAAGGATTGGATGTCATCACGACTATTATGGGAATGGAAGAGGCCAAAACTAGGCCTCGCAAGCCGCCTAATGTGCCTGTCGTGATCACCGACTGTGGTCAGATTTCATAGATTTTAATTCTATAACTACAATAATGGTAGCTTGTGTCGTTTTGATGTTTTGGTCAGGTGTGTGTTCTCCTCTTTGTTTGGTGTTTCCCTTAGTAAACTACAATAGTTGTTTCTACCTCTTTCGCTTGATTTTATATATTCAATTTACATAAGTTTAATTTATCAAAACCTTAAGTAACATAACGTTTTACACAACATAAAAAAAAATAACAACACAACTATTACAAAAGAAACCATTACATGAAGAGATTCTAGAGAGCTATTACCAAGCATATATAATTGAATGATAAACTTTTCACGTGGGGGAATTTTTTGGAACCAAATCTGTAAAAGTCGGCTTGATAGGTCAGGTGAAGCTTATAGTAATCAATCATTATAACTACACCTACAAGAAAAGATTATAGCTACATACATTATTGTTGGAAATCAAAATGGTAGACGATGGATACGTAGCTATAATATTTTCTTTCCGTTGAAAAAGTTTTTATCATCAAAGAATTTTAACAAAGTTAAATCATTATTTATTCAACTGGTTTTAGATCATCAAAGTTTTAGAGGGTGTTATTCAATAATGGATTCTTCAACTCAATTAAGGCTTTGATTGGTAGCATGAGTTGGTATTGATTTAGTTTGAGTAAATGGTCTAATTCATTGATAACTAAAAAATGTTACCAATCATGAATGAAACTAAAATTTTAGAATTTGAATTTGAGTTATCATGAATTATGGTAGATTCACCATTTTCAGTTATGTTCTTTGTTAAATTGCTAACTCAAAAGTTAATCCAACATCATGGAAAATGGGATAAATTAGATGTTGAGTTAAGTGTTTTTGTTGCTTTTTTTTGTATTTAACGTGACCTTTTTTTTGGGTGCTAATTCCAATTTTAATTATTTTATTATTGCACAAAATAATAGTTCCAACAAGATATTATATTTAATTTTTAATTAACAAGGTTCTATCAATTTGGTTAAAGATTTTTGATTCAAACATTTTGTTTCTATTGTCGTAATTATTGATTTTATTTTATATTTTCGTTTGAAAAACTTTAAACATGTATGTTATTATTATTTATTTAATGTTATATAATTTGTGCTTTAGTTTA